GTAGTAGTAGTAGTAGTAGTAGTAGTAGTAGTAGTAGTAGTAGTAGTGTTATTGTTGTTATTAGTTTTCTAAGATTAAAAATTTCACCTAACCATGTATAAATGGTTCATGCTTGGAAAAACATTTTTATTCAGGTCTGGGTAATTTCACAAGAAGAGGAGAAAAAGTATTTTCTGAATCTGCAGACTATAAACGCATTTACTGACTGGAGAGAGAAAAGTCCTATTCAAGATGAGGAAYAAACACCAGGAGAGAAGAGAAGTTATTTTAAACAAACAAAAAAGTTAAGCAAACTGCAGCAGATTGAGGGAAGCAGCTTGTAATTTTTCAGTCGCTGAACTCAATTCAAAAAGCAGACATGCGATGACGACCGTGTTATTTTCCTCATCACAGAAACAATCAAACAGCCAATTTGAAAAGTGGGGAGAAAATACGATTTTGGGAGACTAAAACTAGTTGGAGGATGGATTCTGCACTAAAATCTAACTATTTTCTGGCTCGAATGTGTTCAACATCACTTGTATTTCCATCAAATGAAACAATATAAACAACGTTGTGCCACATTGTCAGCGCTGGGATCTGAACAAAACAAACAAGATCCAAATGTAACTTATTCTGGAAGGTTTGTTGAAATTGAAAATGTAGGACACTGCTCTTCTGAATAAGTGAAACATGTAACACAGTTTACAYTGAAATTAAAAATATTTGACCRAAGAAAAACYGGAGCRGGACTACAGAGAGAGATRAATGTGATTTAGATTTTTATTTCTGTGACTGTACGACCCACAAGAGACACGACATTAACAGCACATTTCATTCCTCGGCTTTAAAGCAGATCCTTTAATTTCACAGCTGACGCTGCTAAAAATGACAGATTATTATTATTATTATTATTATTATTATTGTCGATCTCTGAGAGCAGAACTTCAGTCTCAGAACTCGTGAAGTTCTTTTTTACTTTGCAATGTCATTTATGAATGGACACTTCCTGGTATGTTGGGCAGGAAACGTATATCCTTAWATKATGTTTTTAGGGTGGTAATTATGCTAATCTCTTCTCCTCATGCGCGAGCACCTGGATACACATTCATCAGTTTATGTTCCTCATTTACACACTTTTCCTGAAGATAGAAGAGTTTGCTGAATCTGACGTGACATGTTCATATGAACCCTTCGTACGAACAAAAGAAAGAGAAATTTAGGATAAGAATACGAACATGCTCTTGCATGAGGCCCACTGTTCAGTTTTTGTGTTTTCAAACTGTGCACACCTCATTGTGATACACTGCAGTAGTTCTTATGCTCTCTTTAGATTTAACAAATATACTTTTTTGTTGTTATAAACCTGCATCTTTTACCAGTTTAAGTCAATTTAATCAGCTTTATGTTTTATTACACGGTGGATTCCRGTTTGTATTATGGTCTTGTTAGAAATGAAAGAATGTACCTTCTTTGTTGGTGAGTTTCTCTCCTAACGTGGTGAGTTTGGCCCGCAGCTCTGACGCCTGAATGGTGCCTTTCTTCTGCTTGTCTGTCATCCTGAAGGCCTCCAKGATTTCATTCTTGGGGTCTTCCTGCTGCATTTGTCTGTGCATCATCGTCAGGAATGTGGAGAAGTCCACCTCATCTGCCTTTTCTAAGCAGGCAGAATAGTTACAGAACAGGTTAAAGAAAGTGTGTCTATTWTTTTTCCACCTAATTTCTCTAAAACTAAAAACATCAACTGTCATATTGTAAGCTGYGCATTTTTTACAACTCTTTAGCTACAGTTCCTCACGTGACAATTTCCCAAACATTTTAGCTTCTGACTGACCAAAACAATGGCGAAGACTTCTAAACTTAACTGGTTTAAGGATACAAACACTAAGCATGTTAAATAAGGACATGACTAGTTTACCTTTCTGTGCCCAGACCGTTGAGACTTTTAAATTTATGCTTAAGACCTATCTTTATTCTTTAACTTTTGATTCTGGCAGAGTTTCACATTCTTTTAGAGCTGACTTTATTATGTTTTAATTCTGTATTTTTTAATTAATTTTACCTATTATTTAACATTTCTGTGTTTTGATGTATGGAAG